TCTCAATGACTATCATATTTATCTGTTTATAATATATTTTAGGCATATAACGTGCAATATACCTATGTCCTATGCAATATTATACCATTATTATAAAATTTTATTTATGACTTATTATATTTATAAATAATGTAATATGATAGGTACTTCTGATAATAATAATAATWATTATTATTCTTTTATAGAATTATTTTTTCTYGACTATAAAATTAATTAGCTCATAAGTTACTTCATAATATAAGCAACATCTAGATCATAATCATCATTTGGATCAGAATTCATGTAAATTCATAACATGGAAAAAATTAAATAGTTAAGTAATGTAATTAAAAACAACTTTGCTTTAACTTTTAAACACGTTATTGGCATCTATAGTTTATATGAATGTGATAAGCTCAAAGTAATTACATGTAAATTGAAAAGTAATGTCCTATGAATGGTGTCTATTTGCATGAGGTGAATTATAAATTGAGCAATTTTTGATAAAAATGGAACATAATATGTTAGTAATATTAATAATAGTAATTAATGTTATAATATATGTGTCATGGATACGAATATAATTCACTCAGTTTCAGCTTATCAACAAAAAAAAAAAATTGGATTATTCAACATTAATTAATTTATATTGTGTATGATAACAGCGTAGTAATAAGAGTCTATTACTATAGAAGTGTACTCTAGGCACAGAAGGCTGGTCTATAGTATTATAAGGTCCACGACTTTTAGCCACTATATAATATAAAATATTAATACTTACTTTTTGGTTTTACCAAATCGTTATACAAATCATCCAGTTCCATTTTAAACGTTTTATTATTCATCGTTTTTTTGTCTATACAATCTTGTATTATAGTTGCAATATTTAATAACATATTTTCAACTTCAACGTTTTTTTTGTTTTCATCTAATGGTTTTTTATCATCTTTATGACTTGATTTGGAAGGAGTTTTTTCYAAGAATTTGTCTGATTTTTCAGTTTTTTTACAATTCTAAAATTATAAACAATAGTATAGCGTGTAATTTTACATAGTTTTCATATTTAATGAACTCATAAAGACATCATTTGTCAGATATGAAACTATAATAGGTATGGATATAAGAAATATATTAATCAATATTMCTTTCTTTTGGATTCTGAACAAAATAAACAAAATAAACAAAATTCAAACAAATGTAGATAATACTCGGAATGGCTGTGTTGTATCATTCTTAACAGTAATATAGAAAAGAAATTGCAAGTACATAAAGGCTGCTTATTTTTACAATTGACATTTTTATCAACGCTTTTTGTTTAAAGAAATATAGTGATACATACTTCCTCAAATAATTTATCAGGTACCAGGTAGATTGTTTAATATTTTACTTTACATAGTAGGTACTAACAAATCAGTGATCAATTTCTTCACAAAAAATTGAATAAGACATTTGATACGCACCTGTATAGTAAATGATTGAGCACAAGAGCCCTTTAAAATCGAAACCCTAATAATTAATATTATTACAATTGTTTTGTTAATATTTATTAATCAGTTACGCAGACGATATTAGTTTAAACTCTAGATAATTTAAACGATCCATGGTTTATACGTCTAATTTATTAGTTTAATATAAATAATTAAAAATAATAAGTAACTATTGTTTAGAGAGTTGTTATAAACCTGTTTTTACTTATTGATTACTAATTAAAATGATTAGGTATATCATGCAATATAATAAAAACATACTGTTTATAACTATTCAGTGATGTCACAATGGAGTGAATATTGTTTAATCTTCGAAAGATATATAAAATAAACTAAATATTATAATATTTTATTTGATGATACTCACTGTGTGTAACACACACGCAAGAAATATCAAAACTATTCCTTGTACGTAGTTAATGTTCATCTTGTGGTGAAAATGGTTTCCRTACAACAAAACTTATAGTGAACGTTTACTGTTGGACTGTAAAATAATAAGTTTGCCCTGATAGAAAACTGTTAAACGTTAATTGTGTTGTAATTTTTTTCTACACAAGTGTTAAATGAAAATGATTTGAGCATTTTTGTTTAGTTTCTATAAAACAATAGAATCATAGTATGACACAAATTACGTATCTACTAAATATGGTTTAATTTATTTTGAGTACTTATTTTTTATATATTTTTTAAAATCAATGTTGCATGTAAGGTATGTTGATTTATAGGTACTTACATAAAAAATGAAAACTATGTTAAATTGACTCTGTACTTTTTCGAACAAAATTCTTATCCAATAATGTACAAAGAAATCATCTTTGAAAAGGCAAGTATTTACAATATTATTGTTTTTGTACGATTTCGAGTTATTACACCTACCTAACGTGTTTTGTTAAATTTTTACAAAATAGTTTAAATCGTATGATGTGTACAGTAATTGACGTGTGTTTCTATTATTGCACGCTATTATCCTATAATAACATGTGTTTGTAATTAAATCGAACAAACTACCGTTTTCATCGTTAACGTATTGGAAAATTTACTAAAAATGTTTAAAACTGTCGTAAATATATTTTATATTTTAAATTTTACTCGTATAGTTGTGACCCATCCTTAAAAATGAAGGTCGGGACGTTAATATGTTTAACTATTGTATTAGGTATATCGATGATGCAGGTAATTTAATTTTCTTATAGTAATATCTAAGGTTTAGAAGTTATAGGAGTTGCATATTCTTCTGTACACTCTCGATTTATAGCAGACCAAGCTAGAAATCCGAGCTATACAATGTTGAGTTTAAAAATTAAAATTCAAAAAATGCATATTTACCATACATCATTAATTTTAGAAAAAAGTGCATATTCTGTCGATTTTAATTGATTTGCGCTTATTTGTATATGCATATATAATATTTTATAAAAACATTAATTAATTTGAAATTATTTATTTCGTATTTTAAAAATAATTAAAATATATGTGTTTAACTATTTATTCAGTTCAATAAAATCTCAAATGCTAACTGATTACGCACCATATTTTAGTTTCAATATTACAATATTTTAAATATAGGTTTTCATATCTTTTTCGTGTATATCGATAAATAAGTATTACATTTTTAATGAATAAATAAATATTTTTCATGCATATTTAAAAATTTTTTCGTGGATATTTGCATGATTATTTTGAGTTTTTTGACTCCTATAACTTTCGAACCCTAGTAATAACTAATAGGTAATGCACATATAAAAATAAATAATGCACTTTTGCTTAAAATGTGTTCTCGTTCATGGTATAGGAGGCAGATGGTGGTAAAATTGTGAGCGATAAGAAATTGAAAAACTGGGGTCAGAAAAATAAAGAAGTAAGTACGAATGCAATAAATTTACAAAACGTGGATTTAAAAAAAA